AATTCCCCAGCCAGCATTCGCTGGCTGGGGAATTCTGGGAGTTGAAGTCCGGACATCTTCAAGTTACCAAGGTTGAGAAACACTGTCATAGAGTATTGGGAATGTAGTTTGTCCAACTTTTGAAGATTCTGGTTACTTTTCGATTGCTGCCAAGTGAGTTACCATTGCTTAAATGGTAAACATTGATACCCCTGAACATTCTTTGCTAATCAGTTGGACCTGTGAAAGAGAACAAGGAGAAATGCAGAAACGTATACATCCATTCGAATTAATATTTATGACATATTGTAGATTATTTTGCAAATAATCTATGCAAAAATAAGTAGGCCTATGAAGGAGCAAACATTGCTGAAGAAGAACCAGCATTGTTCTGCAAATCTAGATTTTCTTATCGATAACCCTCCCAGAGGCTGGTCAGTGTAAGAAAAAATACTGGAATAGTTGGGTCTTAGCCTGGTCCAGCATGGTCTTTGTGATCATCTAAACCAGAGAAATGTATATTAATTTTTGTTGGGTCAAAGTTCAATAAATGGTGGTAGGTTAGTTAATAAAACATTTGGCAGAATTTAGTGCTAGTTCTTGGAAGTCTATCTTAGACTTTCAGAAATGAGCGTCTCAAATTTTATTTTTTCCAGGCTTCTCTGCAGCCCCGAAACTGGTATTCTTAAAATGCTCAACAATCTCTGTTTATTATTGTGATGCAGTGGTGAAGCTCTTTTTAGTCTTCAGGGGGTTTTTTTCCCCATAGAGCTCAATACAACAGTAGAATCGTTTTCTGACATTGAAGTAGATTTATGGACAACGTATAGCAGTTTTCCTTGAAATTTTCTTCTCTTAGGAGGAGGCGGAGCAAAAGAAGTCGTGTCATAGATGCAGATGGCATGTTGGAGATGTTCCACTGTCCTTATGAAGGATGCACCCAAGTCTATGTAGCACTTAGTAGCTTCCAGGTATAGTTCCTTTGACCTGATAGATTAAATAAATTTATGGTGGTGGAGTAAAAGAGCTTTTGGCCTTAATTTGACCACTAAATTATATTCTATGCTGGGGAGTCGGGCAAAATGTCAGACGTAATACAGCTACTATTTTTGTAGTGGATCTAATAACCCTTGATATGTTCAAGCAGAATTTAGATAGCCTTCTCTTAGGGATGCTTTAATTTGGATTCCTGCGTGGAACATTGGGTTAGACTTCAGGGCCTTCTTGTGCCATATCTGTCACCGGACGTTGGCCATCCTACTTTTGTCTACAGCCGCATGACTTTTGCTGAGTTTTGTCCAAACCAGCCCCTTAGATTTTGAAGCCATGATGTTCTTCTTCTGCCTGGACTTCATTTCCCTTCAATCTTTCCCTGAAGGATTAAGTGAAGGAGTGTCGTACTTTTCTACGTGTTGCATCACATGTCCAAAATATTCTAACTTTCGCTTTTTAATGGCTTTGATGATTTCCCTTTGCTTTCCCGGGCGGAAAGGGCCTAAATGGCCTAATTAAACCCTAATAACTCTTAATGCAACCAAGGGCATATTACACACCATTTTGTCCATGTTTGACTTATAAATACAAATACGTTGAAGGACAGGTAGTAATTTACTCTAATTACTATAGATTTGTGTGTTCGCGAAGAAGTAAAACTTTCCAATTTGTACACGAGAGCAAGAGTTCCCAATCCCTGGTCCGTGGACTGGCACCGGGCCACGGCATGCCAGAAACCGGTCTGTGCAAACAAGCAAAGCCCCATCAGTGGGATTCAGGCAGCATGCGAAACTACAGCCCTTCCAGTCCACAGAAAAATCTGTTTAGAGCAGTGTTTCTCAACCTTGGCAACTTGAAGATGCCCGGACTTCAACTCCCAGAATTCCCCAGCCAGCATTCGCTGGCTGGGGAATTCTGGGAGTTGAAGTCCGGGCAT